GAGAGAGAGAGAGAGAGAGAGAGAGAGAGAGAGAGAGAGAGAGAGAAAGATTCCCCATTACATGCATCGCACGTATCGTATATATTTGAAGAAAATATTTTTCATGTTATTCAACATTGTTCTGTATATAAAGATCTATAATATCTACATCGCATGTAAACAAATGCATCTAGGATTTCTCGGAAAAACAATTTGTTTGATGACGTGATAATAAAAAAATATATATTATATATAAATGACTTTTCGATATGTACATCTGACGAAGAACGCAAGGAGCACGCAGATGGAAGTTCGCATCATCGATCTTTGCTGATTTAAAACTTGATTTCGAATTGATTAATTTCTGTTTTAATATAACAAAGAAATAATGGAGAATATAAGAAAGAAACAATAAGGAAGCTGACGATGATATACTCGTAAAAGTTGATAAAATATGATAAAATGGTGAAAAATTGATTTACGTTTGATCGTATTTTGTACGTAATATCAATTTGAAAAAATCCAATACTTTACAGTCCGCTTGAAAGGTTAAGAGGATGTTGTCATATTCAGTATCTCGTTTAGAAATATTTTGAGGATTAAAAGTATAAAAATTATAAACTTGAAATTTAGTATATTTTATTCTTTAATATTTGATTTACTACTTATAAATCTTTTATAACATTATAAAAGATTATATTGGCAATTATTTACAAATTTGTTTTTTAAAAATACACTACTCAACAAAATTAAAGGATCATATCTTACAAAAATAGGCAAATTTCAAGATAGAATGACTTCATCAAATATCATAATATCGAAAAAATATACGAATATAGCAATATAATGGTCGCTCAACGTTTCAATAAAAGGAATGAAATCTATCTAAATGTTAGATGATATGTGCGATGCAAGATCGTTAAATCTTTATTTCTTGCACTTATAATTGCGTTGGTGTCCAAAGATTTTCGTTCAAGATATTTGATCGTAATTCCGTATTTACATTGACATGTACCACTTGGCACACATCAATTTACAATCTCTTTAAAATGGCGCATTGTTCTTTGATGCTTTAACACGAAATCTGAAATCTCAAAAGGGTGTCAATCTACGTACCGGAATCGTCCTCCATGCTGCAGCATTTTATGGAATGGTTAACTGGCAGAAGACCGGAATTAATCGATCCTACTATACTTGCATCTGGCGGCGGCAGAGAACGTAAGAAAATGCATCAAGATATTTCTCGTTAGTGTGTCCATTAGTGTTAAATTCATTATATCTAGGAGCTTGAAAATGTAATGGAGTATAATATAATCAACGGTGTCGTATTCGTGTTATGAAATTAACTCAGTCTCGTATCATAGAATCGACCAATTTCGGTGCAGCGAATAAAGATCAATAACATTATTGTTACAAAGTTTCTCTAATACCTGACTGATGATCTTTATATACTTTTAGCTGCTGAAAAAGAATATAAGATGAAAAAGTTTTGATAAATCCATGATTTCACTTTTTGATCACACTCTACATATAACTTTTTTCTATTTCCTCAACTTAAGTTGTACATGAAGAAAGAACGCTACGACGATTTTGAGAATATTTAAAATAATGTGAGATGAAAATTAAAGAGAATTTAAAAAAAAAAATTATAAAAAATGTTTCTAAAAGTTATATGAACGTTGTAATTGTTGAGTTACAAGGAGATTACAGAGAATGTGTTAAATAAAAATTTTGTTTCGATTTTTTTCTATCTTTAAAACCAGTAGTCCCAAAACTTTTTGAACAGATCGAGCATGTTGTAAAAAATTATTTAAATTTTTTATAGCTATAAATACAATATATTATATATGTATTATTTACGTGTATTATAAATTTGCTTTATACAAGAATTATAATTATATATTCAAGGTGAAGTTTCTGAAAATTAAAGGACGATAGAATTTTAAAAAGCATACTGTTTTCAGGGAAAACTAATTCCACATGTTTATTACTCTATCTTTCGATAAACTTCAGCTGACTTTCTTACTTTTTTACTCTCTTAAGCTCTTATATTTTACTTTTTTTTACCCAATAAGTAAATTATCACATAGTTTATCTGAAGATGAAACAACCAACTTTTAAAGGAATAATTTAAAAAAAATGAGTTAATTTCAACACCTTGACTGTCACCATATGTCATCTGTGTCTGATTTCATGACATTTTGATGATCACTAGTTTATGGTCGAAAGAATACAAAGTGAATCATTATGCTTAATAACGGCAAAGAATGAGAGACACATAGAATGCCAACTAATTACATTCAGCCCTTTCTTTGGTCTTTGCAATCAGCCAAATTAGATTTTTATAAAATGAACCAAATGTGATTAGCTGTCTGCTCTCCTCTATTTTCAAAAGTTACTATGCATCCATGGAAATGACTTATTTTGAATTATTTCCACCATGGTTATTAGTGATCAGCACTATATATCAAAGTATTTGAAAAAGTTTATAAAATATAAATGACATTCAGTATAAAATTTTAAATTACGCAGATAGTTAAACAACAATGTAAAATAAGAAATACATCATTTAAAAGTGTTCGGGTAAGATGTAATCTTATTTATAATTATAGTAATTATTTGTTATTACATTAATGAAAATTTTATTATATTATAGCGCGAGAAGACATACATTAGTAACTGAATAGGCAATGTGTTAATGTTAGAAATACATTTTTTCAAAATAATTTCTTATTTTTTGTGTGGCGTTAGTCTATAGGCAGTAGAAAAGAGAAATTAATCAATGTTCCCGCCTTTATGCAGTCCATATTATCCGAACACTAATAAATACAGTAACAACAATATCTGGCTACGCAAAAAGGTTGAATAAGTTTCATGGCTATGGATCAAAGATACCAAGAAATGAGATGCTTTTACGTCATTTTATACCGACCGATCCTTTTTGGAGGTAATATACAGATTCTGAAGAAAATATAAACTTTATATAAACCTTCTGTATGTTACCTCCAAAAAGGATCGGTCGGTATAAAATGACGTAAAAGCATCTCATTTTTTGATATTTTTGAAAGTATAAAGAAGTCATATAAAAGACTAAATTCGGCTGCATCTTTTTTTAATATCTTTGACCCGTAGTTATGAAACTTACGCAACCTCTTTGCGCAGTCCGGTATTGTTACTATACTTATTAATGTTCACATTACTACCCAAAAAGTTTCAAACGATTCTTATGACGTTTATACATTATGATTTTTGACGATATTAACGGAGTGCGGTTTTATATTGCGACCGACAGTAAGGCATTGACTTTTACTATATATGTATATATATATATATATATATATATA